TGCGATTAAATGATATTCCGAATGTGCGCTACTATTATTTCGTATCTTGAATAACATATGCGTATGATATATTTTACATTTCATATATTTTACTTGAAAAATGTGGAGAAATTTGATGACGATGTGGTGTCAAGTTTTAGGTATTATTTAAATGTATTTGATTGATGCAATATATTTAGAGTATGCGATATATGCAATATATGCAATATATGCAATATATTTAATATATTTAGTATATTTAATATATTTAGTATATTTAATATATTTAACCTTTCTATATTTGCTTGTCTATATTTATTATATTTAATTTATTCAGAATGCCGAATTTAATATATTTGATATAAGTAACATATTAGATATACTTGAATACTTTGAATTTATTTTTCGCAAGTTTGATATACTTAATTTAATATATTGAATCTGTGTCACAGAATATATTCAATTTGTTGAATTTAATGTATTTAATATTATTAACGTGTATAATGTGACTAGTGTGTTCGATATAAGTGTATGTGTTTGATATAAGAGAATAAGTTTCAAATTTGATATTAAGTTTTATATGAAATAAGTATTTGAATCTCTCAAGTTTTATCACAAGGTCCACTTAGGTATATAATTTGAATTTTCTAGAAATCAATTTTTAAATCAATTTTAAATAATTGATTTTAATTATAATACTCTGAAATTGACAATAATACATTTTCTTTGAATTACTTTTCTCTGTACATATTACTCCTTTCGTGGTTAGTGCTATTTAGACCTTTTAACTTGAAATATGTATAAATTTGCAATTATGCAATATAATGAGAGAGTACCTTACCAACTAAACAACCGAAATCAACAAACCAATAACAAAGCTAATAAATCAGTAAAAAATATCTAAAATTAATAAACCAATAAAAAATTAATAACATTAACGAACCAATAACAAAAATAGAAATAGACATGCAATATAATAAGAGAGTATCTTACCAAGTAGACAACCCAAATTAGCAAACCAATAACAAAAGTAATAAACCAATAAAAAATGAACAAAATTAACAAACCAATAACACAAATAGAAACAGATATGCAATATAGCACGAGACTGTCTTACCAATTAAAAAATAGACAACCTAAATTAACAAACCAATAAGAAAAGTAATAAAGTAATAAAAAAATTAATAAACTACTAAGAAATTAATGAAATTAATAAATCAGTAACAAAATTAAAAATAAACATGCAATATAATGAGAGAGTGACTCACCAAATAGAAAGTAGATAACCTAAATTAACAAACCAATAACAAAAGTAATAAACCAATACAAAATGAACAAAATTAACAAACCAATAACACAAATAGAAACAGATATGCGATATAGCAAGAGAGTGTCTTACCAAATAAAAAATAGACAACCTAAATTAACAAACCAATAAGAAAAGTAATAAAGTAATAAAAAATTAATAAACCACTAAGAAATTAATGAAATTAATAAATCAGTAACAAAACTA